AGACAGGGCTCCTTATGTACCCAAAACTTTCATACAACTTGTTAGGTAGTCCCAGCTAGCCTCAAACTCATGATCTTTTACCTATGTCACACAAGTGCTAGGATTCAAGGTATGCATCACCCAAACCTGGATGTTTGGTATAACTTAAGTTCAAAAGCTATCATTTTTATCTCCCTGTTTATCTTTCCTATGATTCTAAGTTCATTACTAAATATATAATCCAAAGAATAGAGTGTTTATGTACATCAAAGAATGTATAGGCATAATCCAAGTGACTGTCAATCAAAGCCCAAAAGTAGACACCTGAATGCTAATTAAAAGAGAGAAACACAGGAGAATCACAATATAATTGTACAATAATTTAAGAAGAATTGACACACACAACAACAGATGAAAATGTTGAACAAAATAAATAAGAATTTTAAAGACTGTATTGTCTACTATTATATTTATATGAAGTTCCAGAGCAAGCAAAACTTATTTATGATAATATATATATAAAGAGTAGTTATTTTGCGAGTGTTAAAAGGTAATTACTGACTGGGAAAGACTATGAAGGAATTTTCTACACAAAAAGGAACAATTTTGATTGTGTAAACTATAAAGATCTATCAAGCAGTACTTAAATTAAGATATATATTATTGTGTGTGCACAGTGTATATGTGTGGGTGCACAGGCCACGGTGTGTGTGGAGGCTGGAGGACAACCTGAGGAGTGGCTTCTTACACGCTACCTTTACATGGGTTCTGGAGTCAAACTTGAGACACCAGGCTGGCATGGAACCATATGGCCCTCAAGCAGCACTTTAAAAATTGTGTATTTTGTGTGAGTTGGCACTAATAGAGTGAAAAGAAAGCGATGAATAGTGTGGCTGTGTATGTGTGTGTGTGTGTGTGTGTGAGAGAGAGAGAGAGAGAGGTGGAGGAGAGAGAGGAGGGGGAGAGAGACAGAGAAAGAGACTGACTTTTTTTTTAAATCTAGAGACAACAACAAAAATGGGCAAAGATTTGAGCTGGTATTTACCAAAAAAAAAAAAAAAAAAGGATGTCCAAACCAAATGCCCAATCAAATATGTAAAGGGTGTTCAACTTTCCTTGTTCATCAGAGAAAAGAAAGTTAAAACTAGACTGTGGTATTAATACTCCCATTATCAATTTCAAAAGGAGCATCACCTCGAATACTGTCAAGAACTGCACGTCTCGCCCAATGCTGGGAAGAATGCAAACTGGCTAGTCACTGTGGACTCACATTGGGAAGCTCGGAGCACCTACTAAAGCTAAAGCAGTAGATGTGCTCCAGGTGTGGTGGCGCTCAGGAGCCTACGGCAGGAGGATCACTGTGAGTTCAAGGCAAACCCAGGCTACACAATGCATTCTAGGCCAGCCTGGACCATAGAGTGAAACCCTGTCTCAATGTCCCTATCTATCAGTAGATATCCATAATAAGTAAACCTTAAATAAAATCACATTTTAAAAAGTAATTATTGCAGGATTAAGATTAATCTATCTTTTACTATCCTTTTCAGTGATGAAACTTTAAAAAGGGATCAGAGAGAGTGTAGTACAGAAAAATCAATGCCCAAATGATCTTTCTTTTTCATTTCTTAAGAAATAACTTGAAGTCAGAAACTTGAAGTGAACAGTGTTTTAGTTTTTTCCAGGTTCCAGCAGACCTCCATGCTGTGAGCTCTACCAGTGTGAACTAGAGAAAAGCTTGGCCAAGTGCCAACAGCTTCACCTTTTTGCTGAGATTCATGCTCTCCATCTTGGCCTTCAGCACCTTCATCTTATTCATAGTTATTGAATTTTCAATGATCTGTTGTCCAGAAGGAGAAGGCTCAGCCTCTTCATCCTCATCTGTATACAAATTATACACAGAACCACCACTGCAAAGAAAATGACAAGCACTTGAATTTGCTTGAGAACTGCTAGGGCTAAGTCTCCTATGTGCAACTAGAGATCCCCTTAAGTGTGAAATATGTCACCATAAATGCAAGAAAGTAAATTACAAAACATATTTCTTTTTGTCCAGGCTGGCCTCCCACTTGCTATATAGGAATGGATGACCTTGCACTTCTGATCCCCCTGCTCCATGCCCCGCCTGCTGGAATTACAGCTATGTGCCATCCACATCCAGTTTTAGGTAGTGCTGAGGAGTGAACCTGGGCCTTCGTGCATGCTAGGCAAGAACCTCTAACCAACTGAGCGACATATCCAGCGCCTTCGAAACACAGTTCTGGGGTCAGAGACATGACTCAGCGGGTAGAGTTTCTGGTGCAAGCACAAATACCTGAATTCAGTCCCCAGAACCCACATAAAAAAGCTGGGTGTGGTGGCATGGTCTTATAATCCTAGCACTGGAGAGGTGGAGAGAGGTAGGTAGATCCCTAGGGCTTGTTGGCCAGTCAGTCTAGTCTCCTCATCCAGCTCCAGGCCAACGAAACGCTCTATTCTGAAAAAATAAGGTGGACAGCTCCTGAGGAACAGCTCCCGAGGTTGACTTGTGGTCACCTCATGCAAGGGCATACATACATAAACTTGCATGGACATGCACACACATGCATACATACACAGAAAAAGGAAAAAGAAATACTGCTTAGGAAAAAAATAAATGGCAATACATGCCGCATCATAATTGAACAGTACAGCTCTAAGCTTCTCTGAATTCCACACACCATAATGAACAAACGGCACTTACTCCAACATTCACCAACAGGCAAACACCGTTTTCAGAAGAATGTTCTGATTTCATTTTATCAGTCAAGACCAATGACTATGCAACCTAGACTACAGGTTGACTGGATCCATGAGCCAGGACAAAATGATATTTGCACGGAGAGAAGTGCATCTGTGCTTATCCTGAAGGGATTCTTACTTAAAAAAGAATGCATTCAGTTATCAACAGAATACTTTTGACTATTAAAGAACAAAAAAATAAAATGTCCTATGTAGGTTTAGAAATGCAGTCACCTGCAATAGATTTTCACATAGAAAGAAGGTAGGTAAGCTATAAAACAAATTATTAAGAACCTTAATTTCAATTACTGTTCAACAATCAGGATACTTTAGAGAAATACCTGGGGCCTCTCTTCTTTGATTGCCTAACACAATGCCACTTATCACACTGGCCTCATAATTACCCTTGTACACACCTGCTTCTCTGAGCCCTTGCAACATGTACCCATGGAAAGCACTCACTTGGCTTTACTCACTTTCCTTACCTTGGCACGGTGCTTGCCAGAGATCCAATAAATGTTTGATGTACTGAATACAAACATTACAAAAATTTCAGTACCTTTTTGATAATGGAAATTAAAATGGCAAAGTTTATGCAACAGAAGTTTAGAATATTTAGAGAATGATTAAAATCTGGAGCAGAGGAAGAATACATATCAGTCATCACTCCCGTGAGTTATATTTATATGAATATAAAAGCATGTATCTATGCTAGAGAAATGAATTTCTGTTTTATGTAGAGACATGGAAAACAGTTTAGAATACCCCTAATAGGGTATATTACAAACAATTCCGAATAACACACCACCAGCACACAATGGCAGAGGAGATGGTGAATACTGCCATTCTTGAACTTTCGTGAAACACAGGGCGCGTGGTTGTGGACTTATAATGTGTAGCAGGCATGGGTATTAGAAGGCAGAATGCAGGAACTGATCTTCACAATCATTCAACTTGCAATGCCTGAATCATGACTACGATGGCTGCCTATTGGGGAGACCAACTGACAGGGAGCCTACATGTGACAATTAACTCAAGGGCAGCCAGTGGGTAGCAACACTGCTTGTCCTTTACTGATCCTTGTTCTGTTGGCCACTTTCCATGCACGGTCTTTGCAGACAATACGGATATTATATCCCATTTTATAAATGAAAAAACATTCAATTAAGAGGTTGTGCTGGATAGCTTTAGTGTCAACTTGACACACCTGGGTTGAGGGAGCCTCAATTGGGGAATTGCCTCTATTGGACTGGCCTGTGGCCATGTCTGAAGGGCATCTTCTTGATGAGTGATGTGGGAGGGCCCAGCTCACTGTGGGTGGTGCCACCCCTGGGCAGGTGGGCCTGTGTTGCATAAGCAGGCTGAGCAGGGGCCAAGGGAGCAAGCCTGTAAGCAGCGTTCCTCCATGGCCTGTGTTCCAGCTCCTGCCTCCAGGTTCCTGCCCCAAGTTCCTACCTTGGGCTCCCTGATGAACTGCATGTGACCTGGGAGATGTAAGACAAATAAACCCTTTCCTCCCCAGGTTGGTACTGGTCAGAGTGTTTTGTCACAGCAATGAAGAACAAACTAAGACAGAGGCTAAGTGATGGCCTGGCAAGGTGACTCAGTGGATCAAGGTGCTTGCCACTAAGACCGATGACCTGAGTCTGATCCCCAGAACTCAACATGGTAGAAGGAAAGAAATGAGTCCCACAAGTTGTCCTTTGATCTCTTCATGCAGGCAGCAGCGTGCACATGTCCATGCACTAAATAAATGCAATAAAAATTTGTAAATAGTTTTTTTTTAAAAGAGGTTAAGTGATTTGTCTCAAGAGGATAGTAGATGGTGGACCTAAGATGCAAATGGTCAATCTGTCTGGTTCCAAAGTTGATTTTTTCCTACTACTTCCTATTGCTTTCCCAGGGACCAAATAACAGACCTAACTGAATTATGCTTGTGCAACCACATGAGTGACAGAACTGATAGCATGTTATGGCTTTTCTCTCTAGGTCAACATACCTGAAAAGGAAGGTCCATGAAAATTTCTGTCACTTTACCTTGTGAAGTCAGAAGGAACGATTCAGTATACTCTATTCTTGGTTACCTTGAAATATTGGAACTTTAAATATTTCTCTGTTACCCTATGGTAGTTTAACTTTACCTATACTGAATATTCTAAGATGTTTTTAACATAATCTTACAATCATGAAAAAGTCACCCATGGAATATATTTGTTAAAAGAAATACTTCACTGAAAACATTCTCAAGTATAAAATCAGTTTTAAACTTACCTACATACAGGCAATACGCACATACACATAAAATAAAAATAATATTTTTTTAAAAAACCCGCGGGCGTTGCACAACACGGGTGCACTTACCTACATATGCAGGCAATACATGCATATACATAAAATAAAAATAATAAAATATTTTTTAAAAATAAATAGAAAAGTTTTAAATTCACCTCATTTTTCAAAAATCTCTTTCTGCGGGAGAGGGAATTGATATAGCCTCCCTCCCTAAGTAGCCCTGGCTCTCCTGGAACTTCACATGCAGGCCATTTTGGCCTTAAACTTGCAGCAGCCTCAAGCCTCTGCTCCCAAGTACTGGAATTATAGGTGTGTACCACTCTATCTGGCTAAAGAATCATTTTTCTCAACAATCATATTCATGAGATCAGTTAGAAGTCAATCACATTTTTTCTAGATAGGAAGAAATACAACTAGACTCAATTAAGATAACATAGTAATTTTTAAGATTCCTTAAAATTATAGGTGTTTATATTTATTTTTCTATTAAAAATTTTAAAATATTTATTATTTTTATTTTGTGTGTATGAGTATTATGCCTGCATGTAAGTAAGTATACCCGTGTCATGCAATGCCCACAGAGGACAGAAGAGGCTGTCGGATCCCGTGGAACTGTAGTTACGGACAGTTGTTAGCTGCCATGTGGGTGCTGGGATTCGAACCTGGGTCTTCTGCAAGAACAAAAGTGTTCTTAACAAAAGTCTTTTATTTATATTTGTATGTCATATCTGTGTGTGGGTATGCCTTGTGTATGTTGATGCCTGCAGAGGCCAGACAAAGTGTCAGGTCCCTGGAGCTAGATTTGCAGGTGACTGTGAGCTGGCTACCATGGGTGCTGGGAATTGAACTGAGGTCCTGTGGAAGTATAACAAATGCTCTTAACAACTGAGCCATCTCTCCAGACCATGGATTTATATATTCTGAAAGTTTCTTGAATTTCTAATTTTTGATTGTTTATATAAACATTCTCTGTATCTCTTAGTTTAATAATATGATTAAAGAATAAGAGACGGGCAAATGTGACACTTACTCAAGATGAGTATTATTCATTCCATGTCTAAGACCTCTGTATTAGTAACTTTTCTGTTGCTGTGATAAAACACCATGACCAAGGCAACCTATAGAAGGAAGAGTTTATTGGGGTTAAGATTCCAGAGGAATAATGATCCATCACGGCGGGGGAGATATGGCGAGGCAGCCAAAGCAGAAAGCTATTTTATTAGTTTTAAATTTTTTTATTTTGAGCACTCACATCTTCAGGCAGGAACAGAAAGCAGAGAGCAAAACTGAAAGTTGGTGCAAGGCTATGAATTCTCAAAGCCTGTCACCAGTGATGTGCTTCTTCCTGCAAGGCCACACTTCCCCACCCTCTGCAAACAGCACCACCAACTGAAGCAAAGTATTCAAATACCTGAAACCTATGGGTTACATTCTCATTCAAACCACCACCTCCTCCTCTGACTTTTTTTTTAAGGCAAGATCTTACTCTGTAGCTCAGACAGGCCTGGAACTCACTCTTGTAGCCCATGCTGGCCTTGGCCTCCCAAGTGCTAGGATGACAGGCCTGAGCCACTACACCTGGCTTTCTCACCTTTTTTTTTTTTTTTTTTTTTTGAGACAGGGTCTTCCTGTAGGCCCAGCTGGCCTGAAACTCTTTATGTAGACCAGGGGGGCCTTGAGCTCACAGATATTCGCCTGCCTCTGCCTCTGCCTCCAGAGTGCCAGTATTTTTAAAGGTATGTGCCACCATGCCTGGCTCATCTGATTTTTAAAGGCAATTCATCATTTAACTCTTATAATGCCTCCTTAGCCTTCTTCCTTTAAAAATAAGATAGCACAATTCACTAAAGGGATTTGA